GATATATATATATATATATATGGTGTTTTTAAATAAAAAAATAATGCTTAAGGCCTCTAATCAATATTTGGCTTTAGGCCACAAATACTGTTGAGCCGCCCCTGTATAAGGATACTAATAAACTTCCAGCATGGGATATATTAGTTAAAGATCAGTTTTAAAAAGGAATATATACTAATATATCTCCTTTAAGTGCAAGTTTTGAATTGCCATCTTCGATTTCCATGCATAAACAGTCATCGAATGCTCCTCCTTTCCCTATGCGTTCATCTTCACGTTCAGGTAATCATCTCTCCTCCTCGTTTTCTCACTCTACTTCATCTCAATTTTCACCACCCAAAACTAACCCTTCTGGCCAAGATAAGCGAAACCCATCCTTAATTCCAAACCAACCCACCTCCACGGCTCCTCCAAGATCCAACCCACCTATCACCATAACCTACTAATGCCGAAGCACCCTCCCTCAACAACCTGCACCAAACCCTGACCAACTCTCGCTCCCGACCAACTCTAATCACCCTCCCCCTCGTCACCTAATGGTCACACGGTCTTAGACTAAGAGTCTGAACCCAAGCAATTACATCTCTCAATTCAATCCACCCCCATATCTAAACCTATAGTCCTATACCAAATACCTTCAAACAAGCCCAATCCTACCCTCATTACAAACTGCTACGTAGTCTGAATTTGATGTTTTAGTCAGAAACAGGACATGGTATTTAGTACCTAGTGATCTCTCATGGAATGTGGTTGATTGCAGATGGTTGTTTAGGATCAGTTAACAGTTAACAGGTACAAGGCAAGACGTGTTGCGAAAAGGTTCACTCAATGACCTGATTTAGACTATCATTCCACTTTAGTCCGGTGGCTAAACCCACAACTGTTCGTTTAGCTCTTGCTATTGCCAATCAACTATTCTGGCCCATTCACCAGTTGAATGTTAATAACGCCTTCTTACAAGGAAAGCTTGAAGACGAGGTCTACATGAAGCAGCCTACAGGTTTTGAATCAACTCAGCATCATGCTCATGTATGTAAGCTTAATAAAGCAATCTACAGTCTGAAACAAGCTCCACGAGCTTGGTACACTAAGCTGAAAATCATCTTGTTACCCTTGGTTTTATTCCAAATTATTTGGACTTACTGTTTACATTCTTGTTTATGTGGATGATATCATTGTGACGGGTAACTAGCCACAGGGTGTCCATTATTGATGCTTTGTCTTTACGGTTCTCCCTTAAAGATCTAGGGTTGCTTCATTACTTTCTTGGCATTGAGCTTACTCACACAACAAATGGTTTGCTCCTATCTCGGCATAAGTATGTCAAAGACCTCCAAGATGTTAACATGGCTGAATGCAAACGCGTTCCCACCCCTATGACATGTACCTTTGAAACTTCTCCTGACAATTCCAAAGTTGATGGCACTCTTTATCGTCGAGTCATTGGAAAGCTTCATTACCTATCCTTTACTTGGCTGACATTGCCTTTACAGTAGGTAAATTATCTCAATATGCATCAACCTGGTGTTTCTCATTAGAGAGCTATCAAGTGTCTTTTGAGTATGAGATATCTTTATCACACTGCTCATATTGGTATTAAGCTTGCTAAAATCTACTGCTCAATTGGTTGCTTATTCAGATCCAGACTGGGCTGGTGACCCACTTGATCGAACCTCTATCACGGGGTATGTTGTTTATCTTGGTGATTCTCCCATCTCATGGTCTTCTAAGAAGCAACGTCCTGTTTCTAGGTTGTCTACTGAGGCCGAATACAGAGCTGTTGCTGCTACAACTTCTGAAGTTGTCTGGCTCACCAACTTGCTTCATGAGCTTTACTTTACGCTGTCAGGTCCTCCTGGGGTTCTCTGTGACAACATGAGCACTACTTAGATCTGTGCCAATCCGGTTTTTCACAGCCGTATGAAACATATTGCGATCGATTTTCACTTTGTTCGTCAGCTTGTGCAGTCTAAGGTTCTTGAGGTCCATCATCTTAATTCTGCAGATCAAATTGAAGATATTCTTACAAAGCCACTGTCCTTTTCTGCAATTTATGCGTATTTATCCCAAGTTGGGTCTTGTTGACATCGGTCCCACCTTGCGGGGGCGTATAAAGGCCTCCTGACTTTGGTTCAACTGTTTCCTTTAACATAGGAGCTTTTGATTATCTTCTGTATCTTTTTGTTTCCTTTTGTTAGCCGTTACTTTAGGAGTTTGTTAGGTTAATAATTGTATCTGAACTTTCTGTATCTTTATGTATATCTTTCTATATCTATTCTGCTGTAATTCTGCTCTATATAAAGAGATCCTTCCACATTAATAAAACATAGCTTCTTTAATTCATTCTGCAGCCTATACGCTTTAATTCTTAGTTTTTGATACACTCATCTTTCCTTGAAAGTTTAAGTTGGTTAGGCACATGGCCTTGTTGATTCGTTCATGCACGCAAATATAGAGTTATTTACTTATAGGTGCAACTGCACCCGGCAACTAATTGTCACAGTTTTTGGTAGTCCAACTCAAAAGTCTAAATAATTCAATATTGATTACTGCATCAACAAATAGATTGCAGAAGATCAAGATTAACTTCAAAAGATGCAGGTGTTTATAGTGCCCGAACAGAAACAAAATAAATAAATAAAACAGGAATAAGCTTACAGTACAGAGAAGAGGAGAACAACTCTTCTTGAATTAAATGATGCAGTGCGCTTGTATTTTCTCACTCTGTTGCTAGAAGTATCAAAGATTTTATCAGCCACCCATTTATCTGTTACATAAAACAAGAAACATTTGTAAAACGCCTATCGCATCGTACAAATAATGCTCAAAATGAATGTCCTAGGTTTCTGACAGATTTAGGATTGAAGTCACAGGAAATTCCCAAGATCACATGTCATGTTATTTCATAATTGAATCAATTTAAAAATTTGAGCGGTTACGATGTTACAAGTTTCTTCCTCTTGACCGAATCTGTAAAGGGTATCGTTCAGGTCTTGATATGAAGTGAAAGACCTAGTCTTTTTCCCCTTAAGCAGGAAGTCTGTTGGAGCCTTGTCCTTGTAATCAGACTACTCATCATGTCAACCTTGTTGGGGGACACAATGAGAAGTCACACTAGAACTGACTGATCCAAGGATAACGGATTACAAAGTTAATTCAACCAGTGATGATGGTAAAAGCTTGAGAACTTGATTAGCAGTACAAAATGACGGTACCGTATCGATCTTCAATACCAACATGCACATTTTTAAAGCGAGTGTTCAGGAAAAAGCAAAAAGGATTAAATCCGTACTCCCAGATAAATGAGAATGGAATTGATTAGCGATAATGCTGTAAGGGCTTTTCCATCAAATGGGGTAGCTGGGATTTATGGTTTAGCCTATTGATTTTAAAGTTCAAATTTAGCTCCCTTTTGGATAATCGAGCAACGGACAAAATATTTGGTGGTCACAGGGGAAAAAAAATTGACGCAATTGGACAACTTCATGCTAATGTAAATACATTAGTTTTTTAAACTTTGCTTTCGTGCCATTAAGTAAAGGTAAAGATCCTTAAACTTTTATAGCATAAGGCAAACCTATGTAATATAACTAGCAACTTCATTTATTGAGTACTCTTTCCTCTCATCAGACCTGCTATTTTTATAAGCGTCAGAGGTTTGGCAGGTGGAAACAAAGCAGCAATACATAATATTACTGCTAAGATCTCTCAGAAAATATATATGATCTTTCTGCTAAGATATTTCAGATCAATGTGTGAAATGAGGAAAGAAGAGAGTAAACTTTCACTGAATTAGTGTTGAACAACATATAAAGGGCTACTTATATACAAAGGGGTTTAGATTATGCAATGACATGGTTGCGATGATATGACACTGACTGGGAAAACTGGACTTGCTGACTTGTCGAAGACATAAAAAGACCCTCAAAAATATGTTCACCTCAACAAGATGGAACCCCAAAGAACATTGGTCAGATGATATGTAATGCCAGCGAACCTGTGATCGGAGAAGAAAAAACTAGTAAAACTACACAACAGAACTTTAGTAGGACGAGTAGCATAAGGCCACCCTCCAGTGGACGGCTAAGTTGCTCCGACATGGCAGTTTAGGTGCCGCACCCGTGTCGACATGACATTAGTACGAGTGCGGGTATAGGATCCGTACCGGATCTGGTCAAACAATTTTGGGTACTTTGACCACGACGGACGGAAAAATTCGAGACGAGATATAATTTGATTCCCGAATCAGAATCAAAACTAGGGTAAACTTGAAGAAAATAGCATACCTTATCTAGGAAATCAATCATTTACTTAGCTACAACAATAAAAAAGAAATCCACACTCACAAGCTATACGTAAGTATTCCACAAAATTTCTCATAATTTAGATATATTTTCATATTTTTATTGTTTTGAATTACTTTTAGCCGGATCCCTGCATCCGTATCCGTACTAGGATGTGTATCCCTAAATTTTAGAATTTACATCTTGAAGGATCCAACATGTAGATCCGCACCCGTGTAGTACACCCGCACCCACGAGCAACTTAGGATGGAAGCTACTTAGATTTCATTCTAATACCATGTAAAGCAAAGAGGAAAAAAAGAGAGAAAACTCTTACTGAATTGGTGAGAAAAAACGTGTAGAGGGATTCTAACACACGGGTTTAGATTACACGAAATGAAATAAGAAAATCACAAGCAACATCAAATAAGAAAAGTTTGCTAATTACCAAGATTCTAATTATGACACAATTATTAAGAATATACATAATATTATATACTATGAAACCTAGACTTAATAAAATTAATCTAAACATTACTTAAGATATAGCTATATTAGTTTTCTTGACTTTAAAGGGTATGAATACCAGTTTTACGAGGTATTTTTAATGCTGTCCAATGTTGATACTATTCATTAGAATAACTACGGCTCTAGTTATGAATTAAGATAGCTCTTCTTTCCAATAGGAACAGTCTTTTTATCTATCTGAAGCATTAGCAGATCATCTAGTTAGGCAGGGAGGGAAGAATTGGAAGATGTAGGGAGGTTCGCTGGCAGATTAAGCTTATTAGAAGCATTCATTCATATAGTTAATTTGGCAAAAAATGAATTTGAAACATGTGCAGTGAGGAAAGTGACAATGGAGCACGTCAAAGTAACCTCGCAAAACAGGCATCAAATTGGTTGAGCAAAATGATATCTACCTTTAATAGTGAACTTGGGTAACTCAAAGTTGTGATTCATTAGGAACTGGATGAGCTTTCCTCCCATCTGCAATGCTATTTCTTTCTGCAACATTATCTGAATAGCAAACAATATGTTATTGTTTCAGATTACAGTGTCAATATCCAAAATCAGATAACACGATCATGTTTTAAATCAGGCACTGTAATTGGCAATATATCCGAGTAAACATAGAAAAAGCATCCCCTGCAGTAATGCCAAAATGTAAATTACAAACTTACAGCTAAAGAATCCTCAGTTATCACATTTCCTCCCATTTCTTCAGTGGATTGAAGAGCCTCGGGCTTTCCTTTCTCAATATCTATATTCAAAATATATGTGGAATAAACATTTGCGCTATCATTCTTTAGGTTATCATTATTTTGGAAACTTGATAGGGCATCCATAGAAATCGGAATTTTCACAGAACTTGGACTTGAAAGACTAGGCAAATTTATATATGATTCACAGGGTGCGTTGATGACTCCTTTATCAGGTAATACAGCAGGCATTCGTTGTATCTTGGCTCTGCCGAAATAGAAAGAACAACTAAGACATTACTACATAATTCAAAGAACTCGAATAAAACAGAAACCTACATTAAGCTAGAATCTAACAAGCGAGCCCTAAATAGTCAGTATTATGGAACAAAATGGGGAAAATTTTCTGCTGAAGCCGAAAAGAACTCATTAAATTCCAGCTTTACAATAATACTCCCTCTGTCCCAATTTATGTGAGACTTGTTCCTTTTTAGTTTGTGCCGAAAATAATGACACATTTCTATTTTTTGTATTAGAAATATTAAATTTATCATTTTAACTTAAAGAGAGGATCTATAATCACACAAATATCTTATGTCTAAGGCATGGTTTCGACCACAAGTTTCAAAAGTCTTTCTTTCTTTCTTAAATTTTGTATCTAGTCAAACGATAGTAGCAAATAAGTTGATCAATACACACAAAAAGAGACACATCCACAAACATGGAGTACATAATTTACTACTGAACTAAACGTTAATATTGCAACAAGATAATGCCATAATCACAGTTCAGCATAATGCAGCTAAAATTAGAGGAGAAAAACTTGAAAAACAGATTAATTTAAACCCAAAAAGAAAGTGTCAGTCATTTAGAGAAACGTCACCTCTTGGCTAAAATTGACCACCATTGTAGAGAAAATCTCAAAGATTTTCGAGAGGTCTATTTTCTCATCTGCAATGAGGTGTTGTATGCGTGAACCTATAATATGGTGGTACAAAAGTGCGTCCCTGTGTGTGTGTATGTATAAGTACAGAAAAAGAGAAAACGAAAGAGAGTGGATGTAGAATCTTATAGGAGAAGGGATATATCTAAGAGCAGGGTAATTTACCAGGAAAGCTCCTGATGGCGACATTGATGATCACGACAAACATCTCTGCAACTTTTGATCCCCTGTGATTGTTGCCCAAAATAACCTTCTGACTTCCATTTATTGTGTGTTCATTCAATTTAAGATTCTTTTAGCTGGGGAAATTTTACTCGCCAGTTGTCTCGCTTTTTAGGTCCTACCCACTTGGAGCTACGGCGCTATACCTCAAATAATTGAACCCCGGACTGGTTTTTGCCTTATTTAAAGAGGCGAAGGATTTTTGTAAAAATCCATTCATAAACATTTTCAAGTCTTCTGAAATATTTCTTCGTGTAGTTATTTTGCATTTTGTTATAATGTCTGAAGAGCGAAGGGTTTCATTATATGGGGGGTGAAGTTGTGGTGGCGAATAACTTAGTAAGCTATAGTTTATCTCCACAGTGTCATGTTAAGTTGCCACTTACAATGGAGTACGATACATTGGTATCGTTGTTATGTAAAAAATGAGTGTGAACAAACGTTCGGTGAATATTAAAGTAACTGGAAGATATCCGTATTATGTGACTCCACAAAGGGTTGCTTGTTATGTTGAGTTTAACATCGAAGACGATGAAACTCTGAGAGATTTTTTGAGGACTCCGGATAAATACGGGGAATTTATTGTTATAAAACTATTGGAAATGTACGTCAAGGCTAAAGACGTTCGCAATAATGAGGTTGTGCTCCTCAATCATCGGATGGTTTTCTTGGAGCAGTTTTAGCCGAACAGGTTCCGGCTGAAAGAGTTTGGACTGATCTAAACTTATCTCCATGGGCGAATGAGGAGCGAGAAAATAATTTCTCCCCTAGTTTACATAATCTACAAGCCGAGTGGTAAACTTCAATTTTCCTTAGTATTACGATGTATATTTTTGTGTATTGAATTTGTATTAACATTCATATATTACACAAGGGGGTACCGACCTGATATGAATTTTACAAGTTATGAACCAACGCCCATTTGGAGGATCATGATGGTCCATTTGGGAGTCATCATCAACATGATAATGTGCATCATGGGATATAACACATTATGATTTGTAAGTGAATATATAAAGTTAAATGTAAAGTTTGGACCAATTTGGGTAACTCATTATTTTGTTGGTTGTGTCGTGAAAACGAGCAACTTGATAGTCATGTCCTTACTCAATTGCCCGAATATGACATATTTAATCGGGATATGGGAGATACGCAGAGTCAGGAAGAGAATAGTGACCATGACAACAACGTTAATGAGTCTGGAGATGACACACCCTTCCCTGACGAGGGTAATGATGAGAGGAAGATAATGTTGAACCTGATTTGACGAGGAGCATACTCCACCTCCCGTTAGACCAAGAGTCCCACGTGTCGTTTCATTCAAGGGAGATTCCCTACTTTGATCATTTGCCAAGTATGTCGGATGCGGATGCTCTCACAAGGGATATTAACGAAATTCGGACAGCAATATGGGATGAATCTAGACGAACGGTGATGTCAAAGGGCATGCTTTTTCCTGATAAAGCACACCTAAGCATGGCAGTGAAAATGTACAGCGTAAAAGAGTGTCGTGAGATGATGGTATGAGAGTCATCTCCGGATGTATACAAAGTTATTTGCCGTAGATGGTTTACGGGTTGTAATTGGATGTTGCGTGCGAGGAAGAAGAAAACAAATATGTGGGTTGTGGGTAAATACATTGGCACCCGCAATTGTGAAATCGACACATTCAATGGGAATCACTTTAACTTGGATGTTGACTTGATTTCTCTTGTCTTGATTCTACACATTGAAGCGTCCATAAGGTACAAGGTCAAAGAGTGTATAACATCTGTCCACCAGGAATATGGGTATACCATTAGCAAAAGAAAGGCATTTCTCGGGCACAAACGCGCTTTTGAAATTATTTATGGTAATTGGGATAAGTCCTTTGCATCTCTTCCAGATACATGGCCCTATTGCAACACTTTAACCCCGGGATTGTTGTTGAATGGAAGCTTGAGCGGAGTCCGGGAATACCAAAACATATATTCAGATATGTGTTATGGGTATTTAAACCAACAATTGATGGTTTTGTGCATTGCCGGCTGGTAATATCCATAGACGACACTAATGTTTATGGAAAGTATGATATTAAGTTGTTGATCGTCGTTGCAGTATATGCTAATGGAAGTATATTTCCCCTAGCTTTTGCTATTTATGCCAATGAAATCCAAGAGACGTGGACGCTATTTTTGAACCACTTGAAGGAGCACGTTGTCAGACATCGTTCAGGTATTTGTCTAATATCTAATCGGCATGGCAGTATTTTAAGTTCTGTACAGCATTTTCCTGCATGGCAGGAACCGTATGCATACCACTGTTTCTGTATGAGGCACCTGAAGGCCAATTTCCAGAAGGCATATCCCAACAAGGACTTGCATGATTTAATGTGGATGGCTGCAACAGATCACCAAGAGTGTAAATTTAGGAGGCTCATGGAATCGATCAGGCAGGAAGACGAAGGAGCCTATCGTTGGTTGATACGACATGAGCTTGACAAGTGGACATTGCATGCGGATGGTGGTAGACTATGGGGAATTCTGACTACAAATGTGTTAGAGTCTTTCAACGGGTTATTGAAGTCTGCACATGGATTGCATGTCACTGCCATGGTGTAGATGTCATTCAAGCAGATGACGGAGAGGTTTGTTGAAAGGGCTAGATGTGCATCATCATTTATGAAGAGGGGTGTTGAATTTATGCTAATATCAATGAAAATATTTGAGAAATACAGGATGCGAGCACATTAGCATTCATATTTACAGTATTGCAACAAGCGAAATATTTTTGAAGTTCGCACCGCTATTGATCAAAATCGGGGGAATAATACATACACCGTAAATGAAGCCAAAAGGTTATGCTCTTGTGGTAATAGTCCATCTACCACATGTTGTGCTCTCATGCCATGAAGTGCTTTCAACATACAGGTTTCATGGCAATCGGCTATGTTGATAAGGAATACAGTGTTGATGCATACTTAAACACCTATAGTGGACTGTTGCAGCTAGTGGGTGCTGAGCATTATTGGCCGCCAGAACCATTTGAAATAGTGTGTAACAAGGATTATTTGTGTCAGCGACAAGTGCAAAAAAATGCATATACGGAACCAAATGGATGTTGGTGCTACCGTTTATGCGCGTAAATGTGGCATATGCTCGCAAACAGGACACAACTGTGATAAATATCCTTCAGCTGGTCTAGGTAGCGGTGTTAATTCAACTCCCGGTGGAAGTTCATCCAATGTACCCAATTATCAAGGATACCCGTAGTGTTTTCTTCCAGTAATTTGTTGTAATGAGTGTATGTACATGTTCATCTTGCAGAATGTATGAAATAAAATTATATTTCCATTGATGTTAAGTCTTATTGATAATTAGCATTAATAGTTCAGTACAACAATTTAACATACACCTCAAGAAAAAAAAATTGTCATTCGCCATTATCGAGGTTTGACTAGATACTTATTGAGTACGCATTGATTTACGTACTCATACTTCACTTGCTGCACATTTTTGTGCAGGCACACATGTAACGACCCGACCAGTCGTTTTGAGCTTTAGCGCGTCGTTTGGTGGTTTGAGGCCAAGCACACATGGCCATAGAACCAAAGACTGTAGGTAGTTGAGGAAAGAGGTAGCTCGGTTGTTCAACGAGGGTCATCTTCGAGAATTTCTCAGGGATCGAGCTAAGAACCACTTCAGGGAAAGAGATGAAAACAGAAAAAATGAGCAGGAAGAACCACAACATGTAATTCATATGATCGTTGGCGGTGTCGATGTTCCACAAGGGCCTATATTCAAACGCACCAAGGCATCGATCACTAGAGAAAAACTGACTCGGAACTACGCGCCTGAGGGCTTCCTATCATTCAATAACGAGGAAGTAGAAGGCATATCTCGGCCGCACAATGACGCCCTGGTAATTTCTATCTTGTTAAATAAAATTCAAGTTAAACGTGTTCTAGTGGATCCAGGTAGCTCAACAAATATAATCAGATCGAGGGTTATAGAGCAGCTCGCCCTACAGGACCAAATTGTACCTGCATCTCGACTCCTGAACGGCTTCAACATGGCGAGTGAACAATGAAGGGGGAGATAATCCTACCAGTAAACGTGGTCGGGACCATCCAAGATACAATATTCCATATCATCGAAGGTGACATGAGATATAATGCGTTTCTGAGGAGGCCATGGATCCACAACATGAGGGCAGTACCTTCAACCCTTCATCAGATGATGAAATTCCCAATAGTGGATGGTGTGAAACGATCTATGGAGAATAGCATGCTGCAAAGGAAATGTTTGCAGTCGAGGAGGTGATACTGATACTAGCGCCTTCGACCTCAGAAAAGTCAAGCACCAAAGATAAGCAGACGACGAAATAGCAATCAACTCCCCTAGCCTCGACCGAGTTGGAGTAGCATGTAACCAAAGAAGAAGAAGAAGATGATCTCCTTACTCCTCGAACTTTCATTGTTCCCGAAGAGTCCGATGCAACCAAGTCCATGGTCGAGGAACTGGAATAGGTCAGACTGATCGAATACATGCCTGAGAGAAAGGTATACCTGGGTATGGGGTTAACCCCCGAACTCAGGAAAAAACTTATTCAATTCCTTATTGATAATATGGATTGTTTTGCTTGGTCCCATTTAGACATGACAGGGATCCCATCGAAAATAATAATACACAGGCTAAGCCTCGACCCTAGGTTCAAACCGATAAAGAAAAAAAGGAAGCCCTAGTCTGAGGTGAAGCATACATCCATAAAGGATGACGTAACCAAACTTCTCAAAATAGGGTCTATTCAGGAGGTAAAATACCCTGAATGGTCAGCCAATGTAGTTGTAGTTCCTAAAAAGGGAAACAAACTTAGAATGTGCGTAGATTATAAGGATTTAAACAACCCCTTAGGATTTGGGATTTATTGTATTATTTGAATTATGTGAAAGATGTGTATGCAAGCTGATGAGTGCGTACTTGGATTTATATGTGGATATTGAGCGGTTTAGCCTCTTAATCTCCCTTCATGTATTTATTTGAAGTTGTTAGAACATGTTATAT